TTCTTTCTTTCCCTCCCTTCCTTTCTTCCTTCCTTCTTATCTTTCTTTCCTCTCTCCTTCCTTCTCTCCTTCCTTCCTTCTCTCCTTTCTTTTCTTTTCTCTTTCTTTCTTTCCTTCCTCCCTCCCTCCCTCCTTTCTTTCTTTCTTTCTTTCTTTCTTTCTTTCTTTCTTTCTTTCTTTCTTTCTTTCTTTCTTTCTTTCTTTCTTTCTTTCCTTTCTTTTTTGAAATAGGAGTATCACTGTGTTGCCCAGGCTGGTCTTGAACTCCTGAGCTCAAGCAATCTTCCTGCTTCAGCCTTCCCAAGGTGCTGGAACTACAGATGTGAGTCACCATGCCTGGCAGAAATCTGCTTTCTGTACATTCTCGGGAAACCGGTCAAAACTACTCTGAATATGGTAGTCATTGATCAAGAGGAAACTCTTTTTGGACCAGACTGTCATGTTGGAATCATGAAAATAGAAGGAAGGTGCTACATGGTTGGATGAAGGAAGCAAAGGGGTCTTTGGGTCTTTCATTCTCTCAAGCTTGCTTTTGAGAAAATCTAGTAATGATTAGTAAGGGAAAGGCATTGAAGTCTAATGGGGGCATGATCAGTCTCCGGTCTCATCATAGCCAGAACTTAAAATTATGGGGTCTTTTACCCACACGAGGGTTTGTTAGTCTGTCTGAGGGGTTTAGGACTTTTATTTTGGTACTTAAAGGCAGCACCTCATGTCCCAAGTGACTGGATAGCGTGAGGAGCACAAGGAATTTCAGGACCAAGGGCTGGAATGTTTGAGTTCAAAAGTGGTAGAAAGCTTAAAGAAAAGAGAATAAGCTCAATTGCAGAAATTATTGACTCAAAGCACCATCTGAAAATCAGGCAATTTCTGTAATAGGGCAGAAAGAATTCCCTTATCTTTTGCAGTTACCAGGGTAAAACAGACAAAATAAATAAATAAATAAATAAATAAATAAATAAACCTTAATAGACTGGGTGCGGTGGCTCGTGCCTGTAATCCCAGTACTTCGGGAGGCCCAGGCAGGTGGATCACTTGAGGTCAGCAGTTAGAGATCAGCCTGGCCAACATGGTGAAACCTCCTCTCTACTAAAAATACAAAAGTTACCCGGGCATGGTGGTGCGTGCCTGTAGTCCCAGCTACTTGGGAGGCTGAGGCAGGAGAATTGCTTGAACCCGGGAGGTGGAGGTGGCAGTGAGCCAAGATCGTGGTACTGCACTCCAGCCTGGGTTACAGAGTGAGACTCTGTCTCAGAACAAAACAAAAACCAACAAACAAAAAAACCAAAACCCGTAATAATGCCTAATTATTAAACCTAATAACAAAAAAAGAGTTTTGTAACCTAATTACCAAAACCTCATAAATCGAATAACAAATTGGGCTTTCAACATTCCTGTTGTTGGTACTGATGGTCAGTGTTACCAAGAGCTTTGTTGGACAAAGAAGGAAAACCTGAAATGAAATTGGGAAGGGCTTTGTGGGAGGGGTTGTGGGTGAGCAGGATGCTTGAACAGGGATAGAATTTCTGCTGGCAGATGGGGACACGTTTCATAAGGACAGGGATGGGGTTTCCCTTGCTCCTTTCTCTGTCCCTAGGGCTTAGCCCAATTCTTGGCAGGAAGAAGACAATCAACGAACACTTCCAAAAACAGATCTCCGGGTGAATGAGCAAAGACAAG